CAGACCTGCATATGTAGACATCGTATTGTCTCACTAGTATGAGAAGCTGAAACTATGCATATGTATGTATGTATAATGTGTGTGTACATACATATGTATATACATATATAAAATTATAGGTAAGATAGTTATAGTACTGATTTCTGTGAGTTCATTGAAGAGAAGGGTTTGTGCCAGTGCTGATCAGATAATTGAATGTAGACATTTTGTGCTGTGGGTGACTGATTTGGGGATGTCAGTGTGCACAGTTGATGTACCATGTTGTCTTCTGATTGTTGTGTTATAAATTTTTTTCCTCTTTAAAATAAAATGGATTTTAAAAAAAGAATTAGGAATGAGATTTAGTGGGGATAAGAATGTTTTGTTATTTTGGTCTACATAGGGATTTAACTGGTCTAGATGGTGATAAATACTGTAGTACTAGTTGATAATGGTGAGAGCCTACCTTGGAGAACAGTTCAGACAGTTTGCAAAGCAGCAGATTTTTAACTAGTTAATGGATACAACAGACTGGTATTATTTTCAAAAGGTGATGCTACTGTGAGATGAATTAGATCAGACGGAGATGAAAAAGATGGGAAAACCCGTGGGTGCCTATTGCAAATTTAGGTTTGAGTTAGGATGGTGACAATAAAATGAAGAGGGGCAAATGTAACAGATGTTAGAATGAAGACCAAAGTTAGGTGACTGGAGAAGAGGAAGGACTAGCAGTTATGAAGTGTGGTGGAAATATGTGGTGATTTTTTAATTTTAAAAATGCATTGACTTCCAGGAGAACATGGTGGATAGATAACAGCAGCTACAGAGGCTCTCTGAGATAGCCAGCTTAGATTCCAGGAATGGTGCAATATGTGGAGTCCTAAGCAAGGGCAGATATACTCTGCCAACCCAGAAACAAACTAAGCTGAGAGAAACCAACTGGAAATGCAATCCTGGTGCTACAACTGGAACAACTAAAGTCTCAGTGCTGAAGCTGAAACCTGTGCCTCTGGAAACTGCAGCTTGAATTTCCTGCCACCGCTGCTGCATCTGAATCGGCACAGCAGGGCTAGAGATGCGAGTGCTCTGAAAGCAGGAATCAGCGAACCGAATTGAGAGCAGAGCTGGTGAGGAGCCCTGCATCGACCTGCGGTGAGCAAGAGGAACAAAGACCCTTCCATAGACTAAGAGGCTCCAACAGAGGACATTCTGAGACTGGGCAGACTAGCCGGAACAGGACGCTGCAGTGACTTCAGTCATATATTCCCCTCACAGGCGGGATTGGTGGGGAGCGCTTGACCTGGGTGGCGCCACGGACTAAGACCCAGTAGGCTACCCCAAACCAAGGTCCCTGCGCCTGGCAGTGTATCCTAATGCAGTGAAACCTTCAGCAGGTTGACTGACCTGGAGGGGCCGGCCCAGCAGAGGCTGCCCAGGTCTGTGTCTCCCTAGTACACTGCAGTGGGCGGGAACACCTAGCCGGCACTATTCAAACAAACTGTAACAGACAAAGAAAGAAACTGGGCCTCCTATATTCACTTATATAGAAGGAACAAAAAGTATGGGAAGAGGGAGCAATAAGAAAGGGTCCTCAGTCCCCAATCCTGAGAACACTGATCTAGGAAAGGTAAATGCAAAGGAGAATGAGGACAGAAAACATGCAATATCAGGCACGGCACCAATAGACATAAAGCGATATCTCCGGGATCTCATAGACAAGTTCAAAAGTGAAGTATTTAACCAAGTAAAGCAAGATATAAGTAGAATAGTTAAAGAAATGCTAAGCACCTCCCAAGAAAAAAACAGATGGTGGAATGGAAGAACAGAAAAAGGGAGAATTGTTTGATGGAGAAAATAGAGAAAATGTAGAATACATGAAGCAGGTTCAAAGAGATTACCAGGAAACTAAAACTGTATGAAAGCTGGTATAACAGCTTGAAAGAAACTAAAGATAGATTATCTGAACTAGAGGACATATTTGTAATTTGGGAGCATGAAATGAAAAACTTCTTAAAAATAAGGAAACAAGCAATAACAATACAAAGGCTAGAAGATGATAAGAGGATCTGTAGCTTAAGAATTAAGAATGTAAAGGAAGAAGCAGGGATACAAACAAATGAAATGCAAAGGCTATTCACAGAAATAATCAAGGAATATGGGAAAAGGTAAAGATACTCAGATTTATGAGGCATACAGAACCACAGCCACCTACAACCCAAACAGAACTACACCCAGGATATAATAATCAAAATTACAGAAATCCAATATAAGAACAGAATATTAAAAAGCTGTCAGAGATAAGAAACAGATCACTTACAAGGGAATATCCATCAGAATTACAGCAGACTTCTCGGCACAAACCATCAAATCACGAAGAGCATGGGGTGAAATAATTCAAGCTTTGAAAGACAATAACCTCCAGCCAAGATTGATATATCCTGCACAACTGTCCTTAGACATTAATGGAGAAACAAGGTGCTTCCAGGATAAAGAGGAACTAGGGAAATTTGCAACCACCAATTCATCTCTACAGAGAATACTGCAGGACATTCTAAAAGAGAAAAATACCAGGATTCCAGAAATAGTGGCAGAGAGGCCACAATGAATGGAGCAGAAAGCAAAATGAAGAAGACAAACTGACAACTAATGACAGAAAAAGAGCTCAACAGAAATGAGGCAGAGAAGGTTGGATGGTAGGAACAGCTATTTTGGAGAAAAAAAGACATCATAATAGGTAGTGATGATTTAATATCATCTTGTTTTGAAGTCCCATCAAGCTTTTGTTCTTCTGTCTCCATTGGTCTTAACATCTTGTATCTTACTGGATTTTATTATATATGATAATATAAACAAAAACTTTTATAGACAAGGAGATTATACAGAAACCATTGTTCACTTTCTGTTGGTTGGTTCTAAATACCCAGTAATACGGTCATTCTCTTGAATGGTTTTATATTGTCTTGATATGTTTGATGCTACAATATACAAAGTTATACTTAAAGATTTCAAGGAAAGAGACACTATGGTAACCACTTTTATGTCGGGATATCTTGTGGTGAAACACTATTTTGCTTAAATGGTTATGTTCCGACCTGTGCTATTTTGTTGTTATGTCCTCTTTTTATCTCAATCTCTTTTTTTATTATTTTTTTATTTTTATCTTTAATTAAGGGAAAAATAAAAAATATCAGGGTATATTATAGTAACCCATTTTGATTTCCTATTAACTTGATTTGAAACCCTGTATTGCTCTGACCATCTTGTCTTAACTGATTTTCCTCTATTCTGTTTTGCTTGATACTACCAAGTTTGAGAGTATAGGCAACAACTGTGAAGACAGTAAGATTCACTATGATGCCCATTCTGGTTTGACTATTATCTTCTTTTGAAGTCCTATAATGTCTCCAATGATTTGGTTTTATTGGTTTTGTTCTTTACTGTTTTGTTCAATTTTATTATAACTAATGATATAGGCAATTCTTTTTAAGATAGCAAGAGGCATCATGGTAACCATTGTTGATCACCTTGTATTCTGTTTTTACATTATGTACTATGTCCATCCTTTTGATTTGAGTGACTCTGTTTTGTTATGTCACATTTGGTTTTATTCTCTTCAAAAAAAAGTAATAAGAACTGTGGGAGTAATAAAACCCAAAATGTGTAATTGTTATTGTACAAAAGAGAGGAAAAGAAAGTGCTCTAAAGGATATAACTGCATGTATATTTAAGTGTATAAGATAGATAACCATATTACTGAGTTTTGTTGGATCACTGAACAGAACTGTTTGCAGTCTCACTGTTTGAATGTCCACTTTATATGCTTTAATTTTGTAACTTGAACAACTATTTCTAAGATGACAGTATATAATCTATTAACTAGTGATTTCCTACTGTTTATTTTTTTTTAATTCTGTATAACTTGTACCCTTTTTCTGTTTTTTTTTTTCCTTTACTCCTTAAATAAAATTTTTTAAAAATGCATCACAGTAAAAGACACATTGCCATGAATGCCCCTCAAGATATTCTCCCTGGTTTTGGATACACTTAATCTCATCTTTCCTGCCTGTTTCTGAAGCAGTTTTGAAAGTCCCCTTTCATGAGTGTCTTTATGAATTGTGATCATAAATACAGGGAATGCTGCTGCCAGATGCCATCTGATGGAAAGACTGGCTCATAAAAACTTCCCAGTGTGTCCTTATCCACCTTATTCACCAGACCTGGCATTGTTTGACTTTTGAAAAGGCTCTTCTCCAAAGTCAAAATGATGGTGAAAAGTAAACATTTTGAATCAGTTTAGGACATTGAGGCAGCCAGGACAGCACAGCTAAAGATATTCATGAAACAGGACTTCAGAACTGCTTCTGAAAGTAGCCAGAATGATGGTATCTAACCTGAGGGAGGGCATGTTATGAAGGAGATTGGTGGCAATGTGTCTCTTACTACAATTTTAAAAGAATAAATATTTACCATAGCTTTCAATCATACCTCACATGGGTCAGGGAAGAAGCAGTCAAGACCCTAGAGCACTTTCCACAGGTACGGAGAGTAAAGGAGGTGAGGCTGGTGGACCTCACTCATGGCAGGGTTTTAGTTGATCTCTAAGAGAAGCCCTGGGAAAGGGAAAACTCCCTTCTATGCGGTCTTTAAGGTAAGGGAAACACCTAAGGTTTTGAAGCAGCAAGAGAAAAGACAATAGTGAGGGAAGTAATCATCTCCCACTTAAAGAGATTTCAAAACCTTCATCTAGGGGCTGGAGATTTAACTCAGCGGCATAAGTGCCTGGTTTGCAAGCAGGCAGTCGTGAGTTCAATCCCTGGATCCGATTAAAAAAAAAAAAACCTTCATCTAGCCAGGAATGGTGTTGCACGTCTGTAATCCTAGCACTTGGGAGGCTAAAATAGGAAGATCTTTGTGAGTTCAATGCCAGCCTGAATTACAAAGCGAGACCCTGTCCCAAAAACAGCAAAAAAAATATCCCGTGAGTTTCTGTCTCATATTCTCCTTTCTCATTCTCCCTGCAGATCCAGAAACAGCAAGGTCTAACAGTTCCAAAATCACTACCACACTGGGTCTGGTCGTCCATGCTGCAGGTAGGGATGGGCTTTCTTCCTGCACTCGGGAAAGCTGGGTGTTTGCTGAGACCTTCCATACAGAACAGTTTAGGCTGGCCTTTGGGGAAGGTGCTTAGTATTTGTGCCAGGTTTACGAGCTAAGCATGATTTTAAAAGGTTGTATTAGAACACAGCAATGCCCACATGTTTATGTATTATCGATGGCTGCTTTTGGAGGCTAAATGATCCATAAAGCCTCAAGTATTTCTTGGGCCTGGCTGTTTAGTAGTTTACTGACCTGTGCCCTAGGTCTCATCAGGAAAAGATCCCTGTCACCTCTGGCACATGTCTACACACAGTCTCAGGGAAAGAAGGGATGTGGCATGCAAAAGGTGCCAGCATTGCTAATGGGGCATACTTCAGAACCACAACCCAAATCTGGTAACAAAGGAGGGCATTGAGAGGTGGCATGGTGTTATCCAGAAATTTCTGGTATGACATTCCTTCCTATTAAAATTCCCTCATTCAGCCATTATGCTTTAGGGTAAATCGGAAGGGTCAAGACCTAGTGTCTTTATCAGTAATATGCAGAGATGCTTCCCTTGAAATTCTTTGGCTTTCTGTTCTTACAGTTTAATTGTCTAATCAGTGAATTTTTGAGCTTCATATCTTTTCCATTAACAGCACTAAAAATAAATGGCATACTGAATACTGTGGGCCAGGCACTAAGCTCTTTACATAATATATCACTTAATCGTCATCAAAACCCAGAGAAATCTGTACTTCGTTGAACCCATTTTACAGATGTGAAGACTGAAGGCCATAAAGGTTAAGTAACGTCAGATCAGACCCAGCTCTACCAGACTCTAAGGCGCCCTGTGCCCACAGCCACTCCATTGCTATTGTTGTTTAAGCATTTTATGTTCTGTTGTTTCCAAATTTAGCTGATGGTGTTGCTTTGGGAGCAGCAGCTTCTACTTCACAGACTAGTGTCCAGCTAATTGTGTTTGTGGCAATAATGCTACATAAGGTAAGTTAAGAATTAATATGGAATATATTCATGCTTAAAATTTCTCTTGATCTTTAATGTTTTTATGGAAACAATTTTTTCCTCATTCATTTTGGAGAATTATATAGATTGTTTATAGTGATTTTTTTGCTACCATTAAAATTCTTACTGAGGGGCTTTTTTTTGTCATCATATACACAAACTTAAATTCTCTAGATTTCTATATCTTGTGAAGTTTTTTTCATAAGTATTTCTCTCTTCTTGACTCTTTCCTGCCATTCAAGAAACATTCACTTAGCTTAGAACATTAATTTCTAAAAGGCGAAGAGCTTGGTTTCATGCTGTGTCTGGGGTTTTGCTGTGAGACTTCATAGTCAGTGATGTTACTTCTTCATGTGGGAGCAAGCCATACTCGGAGAGTGATAGCAAGGTGTAACTGTTCATTTCCAGGCCCCAGCAGCTTTTGGGCTGGTTTCCTTCTTAATGCATGCTGGCCTGGAGCGGAATCGAATCAGAAAGCACTTGCTGGTCTTTGCGCTCGCAGCACCGGTTATGTCCATGGTGACATACTTAGGACTAAGTAAGGTAAGTCGGGCCATCCCTAGCTTATCTAGACATGTGTCTTGTTCCTTTGTGGCCTATTTGAACTTCAAAGCCTCTTATGTCACATCTTCCAACAGAATTACTTTTCTAAACTAAAGATCTAAAGCAGAAGTAGGGGCTGGGGATTTAGCTCAGCGGCATAAGTGCCTTCCTGGCAAGTGTGTAGTCGTGAGTTCGATCCCTGGTACCGATAAAAATGGAAAAGACAAAAAAAAGCAGAAGTAAAACCTATACAAGGGAAACATCTTAATCCTGTCAGTCCTTGATAAAATAAATTTCCTTATTTAATTTGAAGTCCAAGCAATTTGTATAAGTTCATGATAGAACTTCAAGATGTAAAGGGCTGAGGATTTAGCTCAGCAGTATAAGTGCCTGCCTGCCAAGTATGAGATTGCAAGTTCGATCCTCAGTACCGGGGGGAAAAAAGAACTTCTAGATGTAAGATAATGCATTACTTACACTTAACCAGCCATGCTTATTTTATTTGACAGATAAGTGTTTAGTGTTGCATAAATATGTGGAGCATGCATGACAAGCCACGTGGCAGTGTTCAGCAGAGTAAGGAGTGAGCAGAGTGGTTGTGTTCAACTAAATCTCAAATTCCTTGCACTTCCAGCTCTCGTATCACCTGCTAGTATCTAGTTCTTATCATTGAACATAGCTTCTGACATCTGTCAGTTGTCAGCTCAGCACCTGTGCTTTGTCCCTTTCCCAACCTGGACCTTCCCGTGCCTTAGAATTCTATTTATCTGGGCTATAATTTTCCCAATGTTACCTAAATGTCAGCTGCCAGGCTCTCAGAGGAAAAATTTAAACCAAACTGACTCAGGCCTAGTTCAGAGGAACTGCTTTCCCCTATAAACCCTCCATGAAGGCCATTGATTCATCGTTGTACTCTACAGGTTTTCCTTGTTTAATGCCATACCTTAACAGTTTACCTTCAACAGTTCTTTTGGCTTAAAACCAAGTCATGCTGTTCAGTTCTTGCATCCTACGTTTGGACTTAAGACCCAGGAATATGAGCAGCAGTGGAATGACCGCTTCTACAGTGTCATACTATAGTTTCTGCTGATTGCACTGCTCTGTTAAACATTTCAGTACTGTACTACATGTAAGAGTTACGCAAAGTCGTCAAGTTGGGATTTCCCTTGACCATTTCTTTGTTCTGAATAGTGTAATGTATCTACTATATACAGTCCCTCCTTTAGTGACCAGTTCACTTAACAACCTGGTTGGGACTCAGTCATTCAATGACTGAAATGGGACTCAGTCATTAAATGAGGAGTGTTTGTATAGTGAAACCTGTATAAAAGATACAGAGTGCTAAGCTGCTGTTACTCAAGGCTTTGCTGCTCTTGATTGCTAATAAATGAGTAGTTACAAACACCTTTCCATTCTGCTAAAGAGTCTTCTCTTTCAGTGACTCTTGGTCAACTGATTGATGTAAGTTTTAGAATTTTTTATAGGAAGGTACTGATAATTCTTAGGCATGGAGTTCCATGCTGCATTAGTGGCTGGTGCTTAAACTTTTAATTAATCACCTAGTCCATAGACCTGCTTTTTAAATAGAAAAGGCTGAAATTATTTGAAGATTAACACATCAGGTCCTTCTACACTCTGTGAGTAACCTCTACATCTTCATTACTACTGTGTCTCAAGTATCTGGCTGACAGCCTGGCTTAGAGAATATTTGTTAAATATTAGTAGGATAAATTAATATCTGAAATGTAATGTCTGCATTATTTTATTGTTAATGACATCTCAAGAATAATACTGGCAAACTCTGGTCAACCAGCACTTAAAGTTTTTTTTTTTTTTTTGGATAGCAGTTATAGTGAATATAGTTGATGGTACTGTATTTTTCAAACCTGATATATATATTTCAAATATCCTTACCACAAAAGCACTAAATATTTAGAGATAATGAGATAATGTGTTAATTGGCTTGGTTTAATTATTCCAGATTATATTCATAAATCACATCATTTTATACCCTACAAGTATATATAATTATAAACTGTCAATTTTCAATAATTTTTGAAAAAAGCAATTATGTATATCACTGATCTTCTTAAATTGGAAGCACCCATAAAGAACATAGACTACTCAGGTCTCAGGATGTGTTTGGTGTCCCAAACCACACCAGGATTTACTACTGAGGGTTTTTAATGGAGACTTCTTCATGACCCCAACCTTTACTTAATTTTTCCTCTTTCTCTCTTTTTATTAACAGAGCAGTAAAGAAGCCCTTTCAGAAGTTAATGCCACTGGAATGGCCATGCTTTTCTCTGCTGGGACATTTATTTATGTTGCCACCGTACATGTGCTCCCTGAGGTGGGCGGAATGGGGCACAGCCACAAGCCTGACAGCGCTGGAGGGAGAGGCCTCAGCCGCCTGGAGGTGGCAGCCTTGGTTCTGGGCTGCCTCATCCCACTATTCCTGTCCATAGGACACCAGCATTAAACATCTGGGCCCCAGCCTCAGCCCATGGCCTTTTGCCACACAGTGAGAACAGCCGGCACCTGTCAGCCACTCACTTCCTCAGTCTCTGTCTCGCCTTGCCCATCTCCACCTGTATCCCTAGAGCCCGGAGGGAGGTGAGAGTCGATCCTGGAGTGATGGACAAGTGAATAGCGTAGGAGCAGCGCATTGTGACTAGGTAGAGGCTTGTGTTGTCGTTTAAAGGGCCCTTGACACATTGAGTTTTGATGTTTCTCTTAACCCTATTCTCAGGGAAGATGGAATTTAGTTTTAAGGAAAAGTAGGAAGTTCATACAATGAAATAGTCATTAAAAACACACAGTGTTCTGTAAGTAAAGTAAATCTCTTAGAGGCTCTGCCACTTTACCCCTTGATTTTTGGCATGGTTCTCACCGTGTGAGATTGGTACTTTTACATCAGTGCCACACACTTTAATAGAAGGTCATAGCACCCACTCAGATGCTGAAGGTCATTGCAGTTAATTTGCAACTACAGCAAGGGAAAGAAGGGCTGGACACCTTGAAAACTGAATTATGCTCAAAGGAGTATCTATTGAAAGGGGACACCTAGAGAGACTTCCATGCTTCCTTTGCATGTGTCTAAATACAGCCTGCCATCCCGTCCTGGGGATAGCAGTGGGACTAGCTTCAGAAGAGGTGGGTGCTCTTTTGGAGCATTTCTTTCTAGTTTCCTTTGCAAAGTACTTGCCTCCAGCACATTCTTACAGAGGAACCAAGTTCTAGTAGATGTGGGCTGAGGCTTTCCTCCAGTAACTGCTGATCACACTATCTTTGGAAATGAAGGGGAGGCTAAATTTTAAGTCAATTTGGGTAGTTACTGACATTTTTGTAGTCACCTTATTTAGAAGACTATCAAAAATCTTAATTTTTTCTTCCAGTATTTCTTTTATCAGGTCAGCTGTCCCTGTGGTTAAGCACTTGTCCAGTGTGGGAGCATTGTGCTTGCTCACGTAAACACCCACAGCATGAAGGAAGTCTGGCTGTGTCATAAGAGAGAAGTGTCTGCCCAGTAGCTTAAAGCTTCTCAAAATCATGTCTTATGTATTCCTCTTAGGTTATCTCCTAGCTTTTCCCTTTGGCCTGTTGTACAATTTGCTGCTCACTGTTGGTGGCACTATTCATACTTGCGTGAGATGAATGCTTAATGAGAACAACCACTTTTTGAACTGTGATGATGAAGATAATATTGTCTCTGTTCTATTGCCTTCAAAGAAGTTACTTTTGTGTCAAATGCAGCATCCTTAAGTTCTCAAAATATCACCTCCTTGTGTGTGAATTGACATACTGTCTAATATTCTGATAATTTAAACAGTCAAGGCAGCAAAAGTATTTAACAAACTAAGGTAATTTTTCCATGTTTGCCAAAACCCATATAAATCCTGTTTTGTCAATTAAGTGTATAATATGTATTCCTAATTTATTTTGATTTTCTGTACCATTTCAAAACAAATTTTTTACATTAAGAAGGAACCAAGACTAGTTTCTTCAGGGCAGTGGGTTTGTTTGTCAAATGTGTTACATAATGCATAAACCAGCATGCCTGTGATTTCTTTTTTTTCCCCCTAGATTTGTCACTGTCAGCAGCTGTGGAATTAAACTTGTGTGCCCTCTGCTGGTTGCAATGAAGAACATAGCATAAATAGTATACAGTTTGAATAGTAGCTGGCAACCATTGCACATGATAACGTTAAAACTAAGGGAAGGCCCTGTAGGAAAAGTCTGAGCCACTCTCCTGATTAGAAGGTAACAGCTGACCCATAGAAGGTTTCAGGTGTCACCTTGTCCTTCAAAGTATGGTTGCCTAGATTCTCTCCAGAAACTTACTTTGTCAAAGAAATAGATTTTTTTTGTCTGATTTGGTTTTGACAGAAGTAATTTCTATCCTATTGTGTGTGCAGAAATTTGTTGTGCTGGCCAAAGCCTCTTTCAGCAGTGCCTTGCCATCACACTTAAAAGTTTGGCTAGAATATCTTGTTGAAAGGGCATTGAACTCTGGAAAGGATTGAACCATCAGACTTCCAAATTTGCCTTCCCCTCTGGACCTCAATATTTACCAGCTCTCAGAAGACTTGGGCTTTTTCTTAGTCTTAAAGCTGCAGCCTCAGGAATTGCTTGTTCCTCCCCTGGTCAGCAGGCAAAAATAGCCATACATCTCACAGGGCTCAAATGCATCTTCAGGCAGCAGGGATCCATGTAGCAGGGGCCTCTACCAAGGAAGAGTTTGCTCCACGGTGGGCAGAGTCTCAGGAGAGGCCATCTCAGTGTTAGCCTGCGCACATTTCGGTTGTTTTTCTCTTGTTTAAACTGCCTCCTTAGCTGTGGATGCCTTAATGCTGTAGCACATTTGAGAACATTAACAATACTTACATTGCTGCCATGACTACTGGAATTATTGGCTACCAAAGAGATGCAATTGACGATGAAAAGCGTGGTCCATCCTTCTTCACAACCAAAGTCAACCTTTATTGCAATTTGAGTCCTTTTGCTTGATAGGCATAGACTTTCTTCAGATTCGAAATGCTCTCTGAAATGCCAAAATAAGTTGATAAATCCTACTGTCCTATTTCCCCCCACTTGTTTTCCAGTTAGTTGCTTCTCGTTCTCATATCAGCAAGGCAGGGATGTCCCAGGTTTCATTCAGTTTTGCTATGCATCTTGTTGCCAGATTTTGTCTGTCTGTTTGTCTGTCTTTCTTTCCTTTTTTTGCATAGGTTCTGTACTGGAATGTAAAGAGTTGAAAATGGTACTACCTACAGAGGCTGTGTTCTCTTTCACTCTTTACATCCTTATTTCCTAGTTCAAAACAGCCCAGTCACCTTGCTCCATATTTTGAATCATTAGAGGAAAAAAAGGAACTGTTTTGTGGTGTCATTTCTTATAGAAAGGAGAAAATATAATTATGTTTTTTACCAGCCTACTTCTCAGTGTCACTGCCTGGTTTTTCTCTTTTTCAAGGATTAGAACTAGGAGGACACACCGGCATCGGAGTGTGTTAAGCCCCAGACACAGATGGTAGCTAGGTACCAGGAACTGTATGCCAACAGCACAAGTCCCAAAGATTGTGCCTGCCTCTTGGGCCCAGAGCCCCTTGGGAGCCTGAGAATCACAGCCACTTCTTCCCAAACTGCTGCAGTGCAAAGCAAGACCATAGTTGTTCAAGAGAGGAACCTTCTTTGCATCAGAAGTGTTTTGCTCAGAACAGAACTGCACATCATCCATAGAGTGCAACTGGAGATGCTATGAAATTAAAGCCGATGATGTAACCTCTCTGTACCTAAGACATCTTAACTATCTCAGGAGACCTGAAGGAGATTTGTCTTTGTGGGAAAGGACTGGCCAACTATTTAGGAATCTCTTGATAAACTCGCCTAACACAGCTGCTTAACACACAGATACCAGCTTTGATCTGCATCAGGTGGTGTGTTCCCGCAAGCTGGGAGTCTTCATGGGATGGTAACTCTGCAGTTTCCCTGGTTTGGTGGCCTAAACAAAGTTTTAAATGTCCCCTTTTTTGGATCCTTTGTATACATGAAATCATTCCATAGATGGCTGCCTTATAATTTTGTCTCTTTCCATTTTAATTGTGAATGGTTTAAAAGAATTGCTGTTTTCTGATTTGTTTTATGATATTAAATTTTTATTAGTGCCTACCCTACATGAGTGACTCATTACTTATTCGTTGGCAGTGTTTCTTTCTGACAACCAGAATTGACTCACATTTAAAATTCAAAAAAGTACTGAGAAGCTGTGAAGGCTGGTGGAAAGTACCTACCACATGCTCATCCTTTAACAAGGGAAGAGGGAAAATTAGGGACTGTACCGACTGCTCCCAGAAATACAAGTTTGTTGACACTTTTTTTTGCTTTGTTGTTATAGATCGCAAGTATGATTTACGGAGGTAGCTTTTTCCCTCCAAAAAGGAGAAGCAGGCAGCAGATACCAGTCACGAATTCATTTCAAACAACAGAGTCATTCTGTGTGCATAGAGACACTCTGAGCAACTGACTCTAGAAATAAAGATTAAAATAGAAGTGCAACTTGTGAAACCGGTCATTGCACTCCTTCTGTGGACTTTATTGCCATGATGGTTTTTTTGTTTGTTTGTTTGTTTGTTTGTTTTGTCTTGTCTTGTTGTAAGACAGGGTCTTGTTATGTAGTTCAGGCTTCCTTGAACTTGGAACAATCCTCTTGCCTCAGCCTCCCAAGTGTTGAGATTATAGGGATGCTGTGTGGCTTATTTTTAATTTAAGTATAAATATATGCTATATATAGCAGTATATCATTGAAATGTATTATTTGAGTCAGTTGGGCACACACCTGTGTTTCCAGCTACTCAAGAGGCTGAAGCAGGAGGATCACCGAAGGCCAGATGTGATGGTGCATCCCTGTAATCCCAGCACTCTGTAGGCTGAAGCAGAAGGGATACTGAGTTCAAAGCCAGCTTGGGCTATAGAGTGAATTCAAGTTAGCCTGAATTACATGGCAAAACTGTCTCAAAAGAAAAAAAAATTACTTGAACAAGTTAGAAGCCAGGCTGGGCAACTTAGGGAGACTGTATCTCAAAAAGACAAAACAAAACACTTTTCATCTCATTCAGAGATAATTACTAACATTTGGCATAGTTTCTTCTAATTTTTTTCTAGGCTTAAGAAGAATAGAGAAAGCATCTTTTGCATATTTTCAGTGTGTCTACAGAAGGAACAGGAAAACTGTGAGGGTGAAGGGCTGAGAGTGTGGCTTAGCGGGAACACATGTATGAGACCCTGTATTCAGTCCCAGGACCAGAAATAAATTACTAGATCCCATTAGTTGCGCTGGACCTCTGTAGGCATTACATGTGCTAGAGTGACTGTGCCCCAAGTGTCCCAGGGGTCTGACACCTCATGAAGAACATAATATTTATGATCCCTACCCATCTCTACAGGAGTCTCCTTTGCCTTGAGCAGTGGGCCTTGAAATCAGAAGCAGCATTATGCCCTGTCACACTGCTGAGAGAGAGTGTGTGTGTGTACATAACCAAGATAGCCAATCATCTTTAGTTTTGTGTTCTTGTAAGCCAGTGCTTCATCCACAGTGTCATTTTTATGTATGTATATGTTGTCCCTTTGTCTAGAGTGACCTTTCACAGCCTCCTTACCTCCTTTAGGTCTTGATTCAGTTTGATCTTTGCTACCCACAAGCTCTCCTTTGGCTCCCTACCTGCACAATCCTTTTGTACCTACATGTGGTCCCCTGTGCCATACCTCATCTCCCTCTGTTTCTGGGGCAGCTGAGCCTTGGATAGGTGAACGAGTCCAACCCATCTTGACCTTAAGAATTTCAGTGAAAGTAGAAATTGAATTCAACAATGCTGCCGAGCATGGTGGCATATACCTGTAATCCCAGGAGGCTGAGGCAGGAAGATCATATCAGGTTCAAGGCCAACCTGGGCTATATAGTTCAAAGCTAGCCTGAACTACATAGCGAGACCCTGTCTCAACCCCCAAAACAACAGCAAAACAAACAAGTGAGGCAAGTGTTTCGATTCTCACCAGGAGAGGAGAGAGACATCAGGAACGGCATCACATTAAGAATCATTTGGGCTGATCCTTCTAAGTGGGATTTGGGGAAGAAGAAAGTCATTTCAGACCGACAAAAGCAGAAGTGGAAGAAAGATGCAGGCGAGCATGGCAGCTTCTCACCGATCGGAACCTGTGTGACTGGAGTGTTAGGGAGAGCAGTGGGGTGAGCCCAGACAAGGTGGGGGCCAGGCCAGGAAGGATACTAGGTCAAGAGTTGGCAGCTGGAGTCAGCAACAGACATTCTGCAGAGGGTTTGAGATAGAGCCTCCTGTGGTCAGCATTGGACCTGGAAAAGATGATACAGGGACAGTGCGCTCCTGGATTCTCTGGGGGATCTGCAGTAGGTGAGAGCTATTTGAAGAGGCTCTTGCAGAGCCAAGTGAGAGCGTTAAAGCAAACCAAACTGGGATGGAAGTATGAGTGGGGCTGAGAACACCAAGGCCCAGGGAAAGCTCAGTCATTGTCCTTCATTCACTCAGCTAACAACAGAGCCTAGATTTACACACATCTTAAAGCAGGTGACAGGCATGCCATCAAGATTGCTTGCCCCCTTTTCCACTGCCCTGACCCTAACCAATAACACAGTGTGTAACAGTGTTCAGTCTAAGGCAATTCTCTTCCCTTTGGCTGCTGGGTTTCAGGAGCAAGCTTCCAGAATGAATGGTGCCAGACTTCTGGGAAGATGGTGGAGTGGTCAGTGCAGAAAAACATCCTCTCTGAGATTATCCAGTTGCTGGTATACTAACATGATGAACAGAGCGGGGGGAATTGGGTCTCAGACCCAGCAAGGATTCGAAACAAGAATTAAAGCCCACACAGAAAGCAAAGAGAGAGACCTCAGCACCAAAGGAGGTAGCAAGCAGTATTTTCTCCCTGATCCATGCATTGACTCACTTCGTGAGAGTGGGGACTCGCATCTGCACACACATGGTGACTACTGGTGGCCCCAAGGCCTCATGGAGAAACACGCCAAGTAGGACAGCATTGGATGCAGCAGACTGCAGTGGCTGGTGAGCTATTTAAACTCAGACATCCCCCAGGAGAGAGTCATTGGCACATAGCCATCCTGGAGAGGGGCTAGTTGAACTCTGAACTCAGAGAAAGTATGGGCTGGCTCCATCTAGCAGTTCCCAGTGTCAGGATGAGGTGGAGCTGAGTTCAAATCTGAAGGAGGTCATGGAGCTGAGCTCAAGCTGGCAGGAGGCACACAGAATATTGTGGAATTCCAACCTCATAGCCAGAAACCAGCCTGAATTTCAGTGGAACTAAAGGTGCAGGTTTGCTGGGATTATCCACTATCCCACTGAAAATCTATGGCTGGCTTGCTAGGATTAAGCAGCCCAGATCTGGACTCTGTCTGCCTCTCGGCCTACCAGTGACCGCAGAGACATGCTCTGAAGTGGACAATCTTTTTCCTCTTTTTTTTTTTTTTGATTGTTGTTATTTTTACATGAATGTGAACATTGTGTCCAGTTTTTTGCTGTCATTGTTCTGTTCTTGTTTTTATATCTTCCTTCTCATTCTCTCCGGTCTTCTTCACCAGTTTCCTAAAATTCACATAATCTTTGCTCTCCAGCTTTGCTTCTAATCTCTTTCTCTTCTTCTATTTCTCTATTTTCCTCAACACCTTTTAAAATTTCTTCCACTGAGGATAAAATTGCCATATTAAGGACATATTTACCATATACAATTTTCTGGTTTGTTTTAGATTTTGTTACATAACCACAAATACAGTACATGTGGTTAAATGTAAAGAATTGTTACCACAGTTTGTCATTTTCTAGGCTATGCTTGATGCTATTGTTACTGCTGACTACTACTATACTACTTTAGCCAGAAGTGTTTTAATCAGTTGTTCTTCCTGGTAGGCCAAGACTGAGATTACGTAAGAGTCATAATAAGGGGCTGGGGATTTAGCTCAGCAGTATAAGCACCTGCCTGGCAAGCACAAGGTTGTCAGTTTGATCCCCGGTACCAGAAAAAATAATTAAATACTCATTCAGTTAAGAGTCATAACAATACAATAGGCCAGTGCCAAAGAACTGGGGGCTAGACCAAATAGGCAGCAACTTTTCATCCCCAATAAATTGAAAAGGTAGGATCTTGCAACCGATTCAAAGCTCAAAAGCCAGCTATGCCTGGAAGAATTTCTGAGAAGTAGTCATTTCCTAAGGGTTCTAAATACTAGCAATAAAGCTTCTCATTATAAGCATAAACCTGGAATTAAACTAAGAGAAAAGAAGAAGGAAGGAAGGAAAGGAGAGAAAGAGAGAGAGAGAAAAGAACGTGAGAAGACACACAGTAAGATGTTACCCCCAGACTTTCAGTTCACCAGAGGAAAATCCAGGGGGCAGTGAGGTGGAACAATTCAAAAGCCACCTGGACTCTGAAGTAACAGCAGATGAATGAGGCTCTAGCAAAAAAAATCAAATCAGAAATAATTTCTCAGATAACTACAGAGATGGTGACTGTAGTGGATTGGTAACTGGTGTCAACTTGTAATATCAGCTGAACTGCATTAGTATGTACTGAGTGTGGATGGCCCACCTGAGGACTGTTGCCAGCATAAAAATAAGTGCAGAGGAAGAGAGCAGCATTGTGGAGTCTCCTAAACATTGTTGTTTGGAGCTGTTGGTTCTCCTGGAGGAGCTTGTCATACTTCCTTCCCTGATATGAACGTGGCTGTTATCATCAGAGGAGCTTGGGACCTTGTTGTCAGAATAGCTAATGGCACTTTTTGGGGAAGCCCTGGTCCTTATTTTGAGCATTGCTTCTTGGCTCCAGTGCAGAACCCTCAACCTACTGGCATAGATCCTTCACCCCACTGGCATAGACTTTCTAGCTTCCACCATTGACTTTTGGGCCTTTCCAGTAAGTATCTGTGAAAGACACTTGCATGAGTCATTGTTGAGGGCTGTAGACCTCCCATTGGACTTGTAAGGGGCATTTGCATGGGCTCTAGGTTTTCAGCTGAACTCGTGCAGGTTTTTGCCATGGTATCCAGGCCTTTTAGTGTGTGGACAGATTTCTTGCACTTTCTTTGTATTTGATTCCTTGGGTAACCATTATAGATGATATTATAAATTATATGTCC